CAGTACGACGGGTTGCGCGGCAAACTTTGCATGGCCAAGCGTGGTTTAATAGACAATGACAATGACTTTATACATTATAAAGTTTATACTACAAAGTTTTATTATTTATATTATAAAGTTTATGTTATGAAGTCACTGTCATTGTCTATTAAACCACCCTTGGCCATGCAAAGTTTGCCGCGTAACCCGTCGTACCACCTAGTATGTACCTGTACAATAAATTAATGTAGGTACGAAATAATAGGAAAAATTGACATGATTTCAAATTAAATTTTTTTTTATTTATTTAGTTATTATAATGTTATATCTTCGGTAATACTAACATTGATCGCCACAAATAAAAAGATCAGTAATATGAAAAATCTATTGTCCTTTCTGATACGACTCGTTGCATTATTCAAATCGCTACAAATTGGAACCTAATATTTTGTTTATTATGCGAATCATTGAATTATTTAATCATAGTTAAAAATATTAACGTGCTTGAATTACAATGTAATACTTTTTTATGTAAATTTTAAGCTGAATTGCCTAATTTAATTTAAATGCAATGCAGAAGGAAATATTATTGTCGGATAAAAAAAGCAGATGATGGTAATTCATACTTTTCTGGAAAAGGTGTATGGTTAAGCGGTCGATTTGATTATAGCAATAATGCAACAGATGTTTATTTTCCATAAAGAAATACATACTTCATTCGAGGGAATCGTGCGATAATAGACTTCGCAGATGCGGTACGACCCCTTCTAACACATGTATTTCATTATTGTGACTTAATAATATAATGTCAATTTTAAATTCTATATTTCTTTATAAATATTTTATAATATGTCGATTTTTTATATAAATAATAATTTTTACCTCTTGTCGAATCGAAACTTACAGGAACGATACTTACAGGAAGCGACACCTAAACCGAGGTCTAAACGATTTTGGTCAAATTAGTTTACATTTCTCTTCCTTTTCCTTTCCCCCTCTCTTACTTTCTCATATCTTTTTCATTATTATACGTACCTATCTTAATTATTTTGCAATTATTATTTCGTACTTGTAGAATAGAGAACAGTGAAGTAAGATATTGAAGTACCCATCAACTGTAATGAAAATATTTTCTTTTTCATTCTGTAAGAAGCTATATTGAAGTTGTGCGGAGAATGACTGTTAAAATAATGGAAAGACAATATAGGATGAAGTTGGATAAGTCGTGTCAATAGTAAAATCTTACCTCCATTGTATTTTCTAAACGAAACATTTTTTTTAAGAGTGATGACACTGATGTGACGCTAATAACACGACTTAAGAACTGTCATTTTTGTTTTGTCTTCGAGTCGTCTATTTACGAATGACATTCAAAATTGATTTTGTTCGGTGTCTGATTTAACAAGTAAACCTACCCAAGTGTAACGCTCCGATTTTGATGAACTTTTAGTATGTTGTTCTCCAGACAAAAATAAGCGACATGTATTTTTTTATACGTGCCCATACGCACTTTTAAGGGGTGAAACACCCCTTTGAAAAAAATCAGTTTTTTTCTTTTGAAGCGAATATCGTCGAAACTATAAGAGATAGAAATAATTTTCTGAAATAAAAATTGAATGATTTCGAAAGTACTTTATAACTATAATAAAAAAAATTTTTTTAATTATTTATTTATTGTATACTCCCACCCCCATTCCTATTTTCAAAAATTTTTTAACTTTTATATGACGAAAATTAAAAAGTATTTTTTGCTGAAAACAACGGTGTGTATTTCAATCACTTTCCGAAAAACAATTTTTCAGATATGAACGAAAACGTCGCTATGTACGCGCTCCGTACGTATTCCTACATGCGTGCGCGTGTTGTGTATGTATGTGTGTGGGAGGAATATTCTCTTACGTTAGGGGTGCTTGATTTACGTGAGTCCCCTTGCCTCTCACGTTTAGAGTGCTTGGTTTACGTGAATCCCCTTGCCTCTCGCGTTTCGGGTGCTTAATATGAAGCGGATTATATCCTTGTTTTTGCTTCTACTTCCGGTAAGTTGACATCGGAACTCGCAATTAGATGAACAGACATTTGAACAGATTTATTTACCTAACACTAATGAAAAATCTGTCTTGTATTTAGACTCATGGACGGGCAAAACGAAAAAAAAATTTAACACCATTGTTAAACGTGGAAAATATTTTGATGATTCCTGCCGGAATGACTGGTATGATTCAACCATTGGATGTTTATACATTTAGGCCGTGGAAGAATTTTCTAAAACATTTATCGGATGTAGTTATATTGTATTATACTTATTATATAAATTTGTATTTAAGAAACAATATTTAAAAAATTCAATCTGTTATTCATAATCAATTTTCATCTCCCAGATTCGTAAACCTTTTTAGATATGCATCATACAAGAATGGTTATATTGAAGAGAAACCTCCTAAATGCGAGACAACTGTAAATTTTTGTTTTACAAATTGTGAGCCTATCTGTGACTCCTGTCATGACATAGCAATTTTTAGGTGTGCTTGGTGCACAAAATCAATGTACATACCGCATTTCTTTAACCCCAACAATTTTGGGAGTCCTCATTATTGTACAAATTATCAGCAGTAAAAAATTAAATTAAATTAAACCTACAAAAGTGTATAAAAAAATAAATATAATAATATTAAAAAAACAAAAAAATGTTATATAATAAAATTTCAATTTAAACATAAATCAAGCATCCCAAACGTGAGAGGCAAGGGGACTCACGTAAACTAAGCACTCCAACGTGAGAGGCAAGGGGACTCACGTAAATCAAGCACCCCAAACGTGAGACGAAAGGGAACTCATGTAAATCAAGCACCCTAAACGTAAGAGGCAAGGGTATTCCTCCCACACACATGCATACACGCGTGTACGAATACGTACGGAGCGCGTACATAGAGACGTTTTCGTTCATATCTAAAAAATTGTTTTTCGGAAAGTGATTGAAATACATACCGTTGTTTTCAGCAAGAAATGCTCTTTAATTTGCGTTATATAAAAGTAAAAAAATTTTTGAAAATAGGGGTGGGGTGGGAGTATACAATAATTAAATAATTAAAAAAAATTTTTTTTATTATAGTTATAAAGTACTTTCGAAACCATTCAATTTTTATTTCAGAAAATTATTTCTATCTCTTATAGTTTCGACGATATTCGCTTCGAAAGAGAAAAACCGAATTTTTTCAAAGAGGTGTTTCACCCCTTAAAAGTGCGTATGAGCACGTATAAAGAATACGTGTCGCTTATTTTTGTCTGGAGAACAACATAATAAAAGTTTATAAACATCGGAGAGTTACACTTGGATAGGTTTATTTGTAAGTCTTTGTACAATTTAGTTAAAATGTTATCAGTACAAGGTACCAATACTATACCAATACTGGTACCAATACTGGTACCAATACTATACCAATACTGGTATTCAGTATTGCGTCGGTACTAAATACTGAAAAATAGTACTGGATCAGTACCTCGCCGGTATTCAATTCCCACTTGGGGTAGTAATTGAATCTTAGTGTACTACAGGGTTATAATTAATATTAAAATTTTTTTTTAGTATAGCGTCAAATTAGCAAAATATTTCTAAGTTGCTTATTTTAATAGAGCTACTTTAGTTGATTATCTAAATAATTCTAAAGTAGTCTCTCTCTCTCTCTCTCTCTTAAAATGTTGAATGACTCTAAATGTTATTATTTTCGAATAAACAATAATATTCGTGGGGAACAAAAGGTTTGTATATGTCTCTTACCGTAGCAGCACTTTCCATAGACGCAATGAATATTCCACCGAGCATCAAATGAAAAGCCTTTGTACCCTTTTGCAGTAGAATTAACATTATTTTCTGTATTTGTAACGGAGCCATGTACCATTCAACATTATATCTACAAAACAATGATAAATTAATGTAAAACCTAACATGAAAAAATAAAAATATTTGTTATAGTATAAATTGTTATAGTATGTTCTTTCTAGGAATATTATTATTTTCGAATATTTGTAAAATTGCTTATGTATGAACGTATGGTGCAAATGTTTCTTACACTGTAGCAAATACGTATTCATTGTGATCTGTAATATTTTGTGCGGTATAATTAGATAAAAACATGTATATGTAGAGGGCACTTAAGCACATAAGTGGTAATACAAGTTGCTCTATGCTATTGTATGATACGATCTAAAAAAAAAACATAACATATGTTACGTGTGCATTTTAATTTTTTACATGCAAGAAATTTTGTAATTTGTCAGTAATTCCTTAGGA